ATGAAGTCCTTCTGAATGAGCCATCCCTAAAGGAAGTCAAAGGGATGGCAATTAGAAGAAGGGCCTTCTTAATGACTGCCCCCACCTTTGGAACAGTCTTCCTAAAGAGGTCCTCCTGGCACCATCACTACTTCACTACTTTCATTTCAGCACCAGATGAAAACTATTCTCCTTCATAGGTATTTCAAGACCTGATTATAAGAGTTCATTCTGCTATAGCAGATCTGCCCACCAGTACTTGTAGTTATGTTTAATTAATTAATTGTAATTAATGTATTTTATTGTTAGCTGCGCAGAGAGCCCTGCCTCAGCAGCATATACACAAATTTGAGAATAAGCAAATAAAATGCAGTTCTGCATCTCCATTACTATTGATCAGAGGTTCTAGTCTCAAATTGGCCAGTAGCCTTATACCAGCCTTCCCCGGTTCCAGTGTTTCAGACTTCAGCCTCTGTCATCCCTACCCAGCGTAGCCTATGGTGACAAAGCTGCAGCCACAAAATCTAGAGAGCATCTGGTTGGGGAAAACTGCTCCTAACCCTAACCCTGTTCAAAGACACAAATTCATATTCAGCAAGAAAGGAACATGAGGCTAACACATAAGCAATTAGCAGAAGACTAATCATGGCAGAGATCCTTGCTGAGCTACACCAAATGTCCTAGAGATCAACCAGTAGATCTCAATCTACTTTCTGCCTGCTCCTGGTACACTGGGTGGAAGTATATGTCTGGGATAAACCAAGGTGAAATGTCATGATTTGTATTCATGATGGATAGCAGTACAGATGGCCAGGAAATTGACTTGGCCGTGTGTACCTGCTTACCTGGATCACTCTAGTTCATCTTTTCAGTATTTTGATCTCATAATGCCGAATATTGGAGGCAGAAAGTACACAAATACTATTAATTACCCTCTTCTCTGTTCACTCAAAATGTCATAAGCCCCACTGTTCTTAAATCAGGGTTCAATTACATGTGCAGGACTGCAGCCTCAATCTGTCTGAACAGCAAACTAAGATGGACCACTTGATCAAATTTCACTCATCCCAAGCGCTGGTTTTCTCTTCAATTTCATCTAAAGTGGCATCATGTGTTTATTTTTTCCACTGGTATTTTCTAAACATTACATATGGCAATTAATCTGCCCAGGGGTGCAGTAGCCAGATCAACCACAAGGCACTTGCAAGGGCTACATTCTTTGCAGGTCAGTGAACATCCTCATCGTGATTCCAAGGAGTTACGCAAGCACACGCCTGTCTTTATGCGATTGCTTATATTTAAGATTGCCCTAATTTGCAGGGCATTTGAGCAGATTCGCCCCAGGAGGAGCAGAGGCAGCTACTGCTTCAGGCCTTCACAGGTCGCTCCCTCACCTCTCCAAGCAGGAGAGCGAGGGACAGCGAGCTGCTCCTCGTCCTCGGGATCGCTGCATGCCTTCGCCCACTTCCGTGCCCATTTGCAGCTGCAAGACTGGCCAGAAAGAATGGACTTGCAGGCAAAGGAGGGGCGGCTTTTCGTGGCTTACCTGTAGAGAATGCTATGGTGCAGGGCTGGCAACACGGGAGGGGGCCCCTGACAGCAGTAGTCCGGATACCCTTCCTGGTGTCCACCCAGGTACCCTACCAAGCACTTTAAAAAAAAAAACAAAAACGACTTTTATCTACATCTGCGATCACTTCAGAACAAAGTCAGGCGCTGCAGCTGCTGCTATCCAGCCTACAGGTTTTCGTTGGGGGGCGGCACCGAAGCGGACCTTGTCTTCGGCAGTACTTTCCCTGTGCCATTCAGTCGTAGGTGGGACGGACGTGTGATCGAAAACCTACCTGTTTGTTGTGCTTTTCCCCCAGCCATTATCTATGCACGTGCCAGCCTCATGTTATTTTTCTATGCACGTGTGTGGTTTGTTATGTTTCAACCCCACAGGGTAAGTTCAGAGGGACTTAGTAGCAAACGGACGAGCGAGGGACGAAGGGAAGCGGTAGCGAAAAGCCCTTCTCTGTGTAGTCCGAATGCTGGGAGTGGCGGGAGTCCCGTCTCACCAAGCTCGCCCCTTGCCGCATCCTGCCGCGGCGCCACTGCGGCTCCCAAGCGCCTCCAGCCGCTTCCTCGGCCAATGCCGTTTGAAAGCTGGGAAGCGAGGCCGACGCGCCACTCCGGTGAGGGGCGCCCCCGCGTTCCGACTCGTGATTGGCTCCACTGAAGAACGCCCGGAAGCTCTCGGCTTCGGAGCGGCCAATCGGCGCCCCGGGCTGGCCTCGGCTAACGACTGCGTGGGAGCGAGCGTGGCAGGTTTGAATCTTGGACTGCGCTGGAAGGAAAACAAAGAGGCGATCCGGACGGTTGCAGAGCAAAGGGAGGTAGGAGAGCGGATCCTCCTGGGGGCGGTGAGGAACGGGCGCGGGGCAGCACGGATCTGGGTGCATATGCGTGCGCATATGCGTGGAATGAAATTCGTGTTCAGATTGTTGCCCTGCGATGTTCGGGCTCGGGGAAAAGGCTGTTTGAGTTCAATGGGGCTTACTCCGAAGTGATGCGTTCGCTTGCGCTGTAGTTCCTCCGTGGATTTCACTGTTTCAGCAAAACCAAAACAGGACTGAGCGGTGCTTTTATGGCCGACAGTCTCCTTAGAAGTGAATCCAACTGAGTTCAATCTAGCTGACTCCCAGGTAAGTGTGTATAGGATTGCAGTGAGACGGATTTACCGTGGCATAAGTTTTCCTGGGCGAGAACAAGGCTAGGGATCCTGTCACGCTTCAGACGTTCCGGGGTATGTGCTGCAGGCACATGAAGCAGCCCCAGTGCTGGAGCTGCTCAGTGCTTGGATGGGAGTGCACCTGGAAAGCACCTGTGGCTGCATTGAGGTCCAGAGTGGAAGAAAGGTGGAATGTAACTGTAATAAATACAGTTGCACTACAAGTCCCATCAGCACCAGCTACTGTGGCCAATGGCAGGGATTCAACACATTTTCACTGACTAAGGAACGCCATTCCAAACAGCATACATTGCTCTTTCCTACTGATACCCACAAGGCTTAGGAATGTTTCATTTCAACCAGATGATGACTATTAAAGTATAAGTGACAGTCTTCAAAAAGTTGTAAATTCATTTTAAATGAGAAATAAATTTGCGTTGTAACTTTCATTGGGTAGAGATAACTGGGGTGGACCATGTGGGATAGCCTGGGATATGTGTGAATGTGGACAAAGACAAGTACCAGGAAAACTATAAAGGAGTCTGAATGAATGGTATGGCAGAAATGTGGGGATTCTACATACATTTATTCATAATTACATTGATGGATAGCATAGATTGATAGATTCGGTCACATTTACTTGGATAGTAGCATATGACAGATCCCTACCCCAAGGGCTAACAGTCTAATTAGAATACATGGAAACAATAGAAAATGGGAGAGAAACAGAAACTTGGGTGAAATGTGGTATAACATGTGATTACTTCCATTGCATATGCTTTAGTTTGGCTACAGTAAGGCAAGGGTTTCCCAGAAAAGCTGAGCTTGGAAGAAGGGAATAAGGGAGGTTGGAGGCAGTTCTGGGGATAAGGGGTAGCAAGGAGAAATGGGCAGAGTTGTTTCGGGGAGGAGGACATTTCCAACAGGTGAGGGTGGTGGAGGTAAGTGAAAGCTGCAGGAAGGGTTTGGTAAGGATATAAGTGCAGAGAAATGATGAGGTCACGGAGGGCACTGAAGCTGAAAAAAGGAAGCTTTAGAGAGGACTTTCTTAACTTGGCGCGTGTGTGTGTGTGTGTGTGTGTCCCTGACCCATGTTTTTGACTACAGCTTCCAGCATTCTTGACCATTGATATGCTGGCTGGGGTCAGTGGACTTGAAGTGCCAAATAACTGGAGGGCACCAAGTTGGGGGTGGGGCTGTTGCAGAAGCCATGAAAGGGTTAACGGAGGTACAGTCACTTGGCCACAATGAGCGTGCAAGTTGCCTGGGGGCTCCAAGAGTTTGAGAAAAGTTGACTGAAGCCCCACACTCCAAGGTCATCCAGGCAGGATGGGAGAAGCGGATGCATGTGATCTTCCTTCCACATCCACCCCCTGAACTTTTTCTTAGGCTTTTCCCCATCTAGCAAAAGTGCTTCAAAGGCTGGATGGATGGGTGTGCAGATAGTTTGCATTCCACCTTCTCTTTTCTTCCCGCCAAAACACCCCCTTTTCTCCCTCTCCAAGGGCAGCCAGCAGGTAGGGGAGACTGAGTCAGAGCCCTGGCCCTCCTCCTGAGTTTGGGGTGCTGTCTCTGACTTCAGAGCAGAGAATCACAGGTATCCTCTCCTGGATGGAGCAGGCTGATAAGCCTGTCCAAACTGATGGTTCTTCGGACAATGTTCCAAGACCATAGAGTTGCTCCCTAAATTAGCTTAAAAAGCAATTGTATATTTAATTCAATTCGTTGTTGTTGTTATTTTACAAAGGAACTTGAAATAAATGAATTGTTTGTACCATTCTTTAAATAAAGACCCTAGGCAAGGAGAGGAGGAGGAGGGTCCTACCTTGGATTCTCTGCAAGAGGTAAGAAGGCAGGATATAAATGGAATGTACATATACTACTAATCATCATCAACAATAACATCAAACAGAATTACTCAATGTTGTTCAGATTCTCAATCCAGAAGTTATTTGACAGCTGCAAAGCATTCTACCTCAAGGGACAAATGTGTCTGTAACCAAAGTTTGGTGTACAATCTGGGACCCTCCGGGAGTGTTGAACTACATCTCTGAAAGCAGAAGATAAAATGCCTGAGGAGATAAATTTAATAATGGCTTCAATTTACAAACCCCACCTTTCCCACCCAGCCCAACACACCTTGGCAGGGGGGGTCTCAGGTTGGGCAAATGGGATACACCAGGTGGCATTCTGAAATGCAAAACTATCCTTTATTTCAGTGAATTGTTTTAGACCTTTAAAGAGCAGTGCCTTTAAAAAGCATGCTTTTTGCTGTCTCTTATGCATTAAGGGAGCAAAATCTGCTGAAATGAGTTGGGTCGTGGAAGAGTGGAAAGAAGGCCTTTCCACACGAGTCCTTCATAAGATTCAAGAACTTGAAAGTCATCTTGAGAAGCTTAAAAAGGAGCGGCAGCAAAGGCAGTTTCAGCTAGAATCTCTGGAGGCAGCTTTGCAAAAACAGAAGCAGAAGGTAGTATAACTACATTGATATAAATATCACACCAGTTAGGGGTGCAATCTGATACAGTGTCTTTTTTAAATTGCTGTTAGTATGTAATTTTATTATCATATTTTTATTGCTCCGATTACAAATGGGCATACTAGAAACATGTGGCTTGCTGCTGTAGCAGCTGTTTACTAAGATCCAGTTAATGACTGGTATCGGCAGAGAATGGAAGAGCATGGGGGCCAGAACTACCAGGCATGTCACACGTTAGCCTTGGAGGTTACAGAAAAAGGACACGTTTAAAAGACGGGTTGAAAATGCAAAGGGATGAGAATATAATTCACACAGAAAATGTGTAACTGAGGGTAGGCAGACTTCAGGTTTGAGGGCACAAGGCCTTCTTGAGAGCAGTCTGTGCAAGCAGAGCCAAAGTGTTGGTTTTGGCACTTGGGAATAAAAGAGGCAAACACTTCGCCAGCATTGCAGATCAACAACATTGGATGGAACCTTAGCTGCAGCCTTCCAGCCTGGACCAGACAGACCTTTGGTGTGATCCAGCATGGCTCTTCGTATGTGCCAAGGTCCTTTTTTTATCTCTCAGGACAGATAAATGCAATTCTATGTCCAGTCTGTCTTGAACTGTTGGGACTGGTTCCCTTCCTGCTTGGAAGCACGTGGCATCTCTGTGGTAGACCATGAATTATGTACCTTCCCCGACCATGTGAATAGCATGTGATGGAGAGTGGAGCCTGCCTATTTCCATTGTTCAGGTGATGAGTGGCAGAGGGAAGCGTGAGCCCAGTGCCCACTGCTGTGTCCTGTCACAGGATTGGACCACATGCCCAAGCCCTTTATGGGCCCGTGAGCCCTCCATTCTCCTGTGCTGTTAAATGTTATGAAAGGATCTGGCCCTTTTTGGATTACGACAGTAGATGCACTGTGGTTGTAATTTTGTGCACCTGTTGTTATGCTCAGTAAAGTTATACAAGAATAGAGTTTAAATGTTTGATGAAAACTAGTATGTTCAGCCTTAATAATGCTACTTCAATATTAAAACTGCCCTATGGTCGCTTATGTTGATATGTTCCCAGTATCCTTTTGCATTGTTAGAGAAAAATAGTAGCTCTGTTTATATGAAAACAGCAATAGTAACTGTAGAAGAGTAAAGAACTAAGTAACACAGTTTCCATAAAACAACAGCTTAAAGTCAGATGGAGCATTTTTTGTTATTACTATCTAATGATGATGATGAACTCTTCTGATAAGGTTGAAAATGAAAAAAATGAAGGATCAACACTGAAGAGAGAGAACCAGACCTTGATGGAACTGTGTGAAAGCCTAGAAAAAACCAAGCAGAAACTTTCTCATGAACTTCAAGTAAAAGAATCACAAGTTAGCCTTCAAGAAGGGCAACTTATTTCAAGCAAGAAACAAATTGAAAGGCTAGAACAAGAACTTAAAAGGTAAGAATATTTTCTTTGAGCAAAAAGCCAACACATGAAGTCTCAGGATTGTACCATTTGGCACCAAAGTCACATGTTCAGTCATGGTGAAATGGGACCCTATGGATTAAACCCATAACTTTGACATGGTATGATCTGATCAGTGTTGCATTCTTTCAAGATGATTAAGGGAGGGGAGGCAACTTCTGTATGAGTTAAGGACTCATTTAGGACTCTTTAGTAAGAAGGTGAGTAAGAGGAGACAAAACAGAGCTATATGTGAGAAGTGGAAAAGATGTACATATGATGGGGAGTGGAGAATGTTTCTCTTTCTCTCCTGTATTGCTGGAACCCAGAACCCACCCATGAAGCTGACTGATAGGCTATTCAGGACAGATAAATGGAAGTACTTTTTCACATGGTATATAATTAAGCTATGGCATTCGTTACCAAGTGTAACAAATGGGTACAAGCTAATGATGGCCACTAGCTTGCATGGTCTGAAAGAGAATTAGACATGATAAGGCTGCAAATGGCCAATAGTCACAGTGGCTATAGATTACTCCTAGTGTCAGAGGTAGAATGTTTTCAGTGCCTCTTGTTGGGGAGCAAAAGCAGAACGGTGTTATTGCATTCATGGCCTGCTTGTAGGGTTTTCACAGGACGGCCACCGTGGGAATAGAAAGCCAAACCAGATGTTCTTATGATATTGATTAATTTGATGGAATGGCACCTTACCTTTCTGAGCAGTCATATTTTGATGGAATATTTTACAACTCCGCCAGGGTTTTGTGAAACAGGCACCGAAAACCTAGCACCAAAAAATATGAAAAATTATTGAACAGGAAGCTTAATCATTTGAATGCCTTTCATCTCTGCTTTTTGTTCCAACAGAAGGGTAAAAAGTCTGAAGCCAAGATCCACATTATAATGAAATGAAGTACAGTAGTAAACCACAAGCCTACAATTTATGTTTAATGTAAAGTATTGTGGACATTTTAATTGCCCCACTGGGCATGTCTAGACTAGCATCATACTACCTTGAAATGATAAAGAGCTTCTGACAGAGATTAGCCTTGTTTATGTTCTGTAAAATTCAGTAATTTTCTTCCAAACACATTGTCCATTGATATAATTTCATGTTTATTAGGGACTGTAGAAAATGATTAAAGTTTGAGAAACATTATGATGTCAGAGAAGTATAAAACCTTAATATTTCATAATGGGTTTTCAAAATTGTAGCACATTGAGTTGCATGCAGACATGCTGTTGTGTACTAGTAACTGGGAAGAAGGTACTCCATTGAATTCACTGCCAGTGGAACAGTCAGGCTTAACTTCTGAGCACACACAAACAGAATTGCTCTGCAAGATAACTGAACCATCGAGATAGCATCAAATTCAAATGGGACTTAATATTTCCCAGTGACTTCAGGTAACTTAGTCTGGATCCACTCATTGTTAGTAAGCTAGAATTCTTTTATTTTTTAAAAATAGATATAAATCTGAACTAGAAAGAAGTCAGAAGACCCTCATTTCCTGTGAAGCATCTTTAACTAGCACACCACAGAAGAATTTGACTGATCCTTCACTGTCAAGTCAGAATGGTACAATTTGCTCTTGTCTAATAACTGTACAAATGGCATCGTTCACGTTTTAATTGCACAGCATTCCATTTTAATCTTCATGCTTTTTATCATATATGCATAATATATACATATTGATAGGATTTTATTCTGCATTAACAGATTCAGAGTCTGAAGAACTGCAAGTAAAATGCCATAAAGAAATTGGAGAAAAGAAAAGACTGGAAACAGAATGGAAAATCATGAAGTCTCAAGTAACAGCTTAGAACTTTGCATGGAATATTTAAATCCAAAATATTTATTTATAATAAGAATGTTGCAGTTTATCCAAAAACATCTAAATATAAGCAAACAGCCTATAGCTGACTTGTAGGTGGCAAAACTCCTATGGAGTCCCATTTTCTTGAGCTGACGAATGGCAAATGGATAGAGTTTCTGACTCAGTCATCAAATACTGGAGCAAGAGCTCTGTTGTTTGTTCTAGCTTCCACTCACAAATTCTCTTTTTCTGATGCATCTTCTGTACTGTGCTTAGACTAATTAGGTAAACTTCTTCTCTCTCCCTTTGTTTTACTAGAAAATAAATCCCTTGCATCCTGAAAATACTATAAGCCGCAGAGAAATTGCCCGGCAACAGGCTTCTTCATCAGTGTTCTCATGGCAACAAGAGAAAACGCCAAGTCGTGCTTCAACTAGCTGTCAAGAAACTCCCTTAATCAGTCAATCGGCGACTTCACATTTTCCCTGGGAATCTGGGGCAACTCCTAGTCACAAAGATCTGAACTCAGCAAAGAAGGAGTTCACTAACTGCAGTGTATGCAAGGACTCCCCACTTGTTCACCAGATGAAAATGCAGAACCAAGGTATCTTGCAAAGATCAACAAACTTGACCTTGTCCCTGAATTTTGCAGTATAATCAATTTCCTTCCACATCGCACTAACATAAATCCCTTGCAATGCGGACATTGCAGTGGTAGAGCAGTTTTAGGCCAAAGTTGTACAAATTTGCATGTTAGCACATATCAGAACATCATGAAGCCTTACAATATTAATTATGGCCATTATTTTTAACTACATAGAACTAAGATCCAGAGTTCAAGAACTAGATCATAAGCTGCAAATTCAAGCACAAGAGATGAAATCCAGTATCACTAAACTTCAGGAAACGCAGCTGCAACTGGAAAGTATGAAAATGGAATTAACAGAAAAAGATAAAGCTCAGAACAAGACCAGCAAAGAAATAACTAGAATTGCAACACAACTTGATCAAGCTCTTGGTCAGGTAAAGTGCTTCTTCAAATCTCACGTGGATATTTTTAATATTTTAAGACCTGTTTTAAGAGTTTCATACATGCAGCTTCATTTATTGACCTACATCCATGTATCAAGAATCACAAAAAGAATTTTCAGCTGGGCTGATTATCTGTCTGTCTATTTGGAGCATTTTTATCCCATTCTTTGCAAAATATTTTTTTAATAGACAAGGTTTGCACATTGGGCTAAATATCATCAAATGAAAAGTCATAATGTGATGACCAGGCTTGTGTGAATTAGTCTATTGGCTCATACAATCTTTCAGCTGAAAAGGATAGCACAAATTATCCAGTTTATTTGGAAAAACAAAATGCTCTGCAGCGTAAGCACATCTTGGCAAGTCGGGGATGTTTTAGCTGCTAATGGAATCAGAGATGGATATGATGGATAGAATATATTGATACTAAGCTCAATCCTCCAACTGCCAGTCCTTATATAGTCAAAAGGAGGAGATCTCAACAGGCACAAAGGAATCTCAAGGTTTCTGGAAATACCAAAAATAAAATTAAGAAGCAAGCAGGAGGGAACGTCAGCCTAGACCAGTGAAGGCTGAACTCGGTGCTGGCTGGCTGTTCTTGGGGAACTGGGAAACCATGTGGGAGAGGAGATGGAGGCAAAGCACACTGCAATGTGGCCTTACCAGTCCCACCTGTTTGCTCTGTTTCCAGTATACAGGCTGTAAGTGCCGTCGCTTATGTTGCCAAAACACAAGGGAGGTATCAGCAGACTTGATGGAAATACCATGTTTGTAAAAAATCGAAATATTTTTAGTAGAGGGGGGAAAATCAGAGCAACGGGCTTAGTGGCAAAGAAGGCTAACGGATGGTTGGAGAAGCAGCCTAAGGAGTGAATGGAATGGCAAGGACCGTGAAGGGGAGTGGTCTGAACAAGGCGCTTGTTCACATATGTTCAGGGTCCCACTTGTCTAGTAACCCATTGTTGGTGCTTTGTTCACATGCCGAGCTCTTCCTATACAGCTTCAAAAGCATTTTCCCTGAATCTTTTTTTATTAAAAGAGGCTTGCCTGGTGCCCATACTTGCCCTTTCTTTTCCAGGGAAAAGATGTTTCCCCAGACAGTTTGATTTTAAATTCTGTATTTGCCTGTAAAGTGCTGGAAGGGCTGCTTTATATATTCAATATTGCATTTTCACTAGTGGTGGTTTTCTTACTATGGGCTGGTTTTATTCTTTTCTGTCATGATATGTAATTCATCTATGTTGTTATTTTTTGGACTGAAAATAGAATTCATTAATTGAACTGACTTCCTCTATATCTGTTTGCTTATATTCTGTCGTTCTTTTACACATCTAAATATTGTCGAATGGATTTCCTTCCACTGGATTGTGTCCTGGTCTGATTGATAGCCCAATTAATATTTTTAGAGACAACAATAAACTGCCTTGAGTTTACTGCCAGATTTTTTGCAGTGTTGCAAAGGCCTTACGTATGCACCGGTCTGTCCTCTCCAGAAACCAAGCACAATATTTCTCTTGGCTCCATCAGTAAGGAAAATCAGGACCTGGGAAAGGCAAGACTCCCTTTTTGTATGTGTAATCACCTTAAAGGCTGGCATCCCTCTGTCTGAATGATACTTCAACCCTTAGATCATTTTACAGATGCTTTTATGCCAGCATATGGTCGTTCTTGTCTCACTTTTTAGTCTCACTTTCTTGCATTCCCTCTCAGCCGGTAGGTATTCATTTATTTTTGCTTCCATTAGCTATGAACCTGCTGCCAGTTCTGAGCCTGTGTACAAACCAAGTACTGATCTTTCCAGCTCATGTGATATTTAATTACTCTCTTTGTAGTTGGCTGCAAAAGAGGAGAAGGTGAAAAGGCTTTCAGATGAGCTGAACTGTCAAAGACAAAATTCTGAGAGTGCCCAGTGCTCTTTACAACAGAAAATAAAGGAAAGAGAAAAAGAGCACCAAGAGGTGAGGTTCTCTGCATACTAACAGAGACTGGGGAAGATAGGAGGGGGGCGCAGGGGACTCTCACAGGTAAAGGTAGGAAGCACATGGGCCTGCAGGAGGCTCACAGTCTGTAAGCCCAGTTGAGCAGACTGCTAGTGTACCTTCACTGGACACTTGTCAAGTTCATATGTACAGGCCAGCAATATGACAGGTGCCAGCAGGTACAATCCTGTACGTATCAACGCATCCTACTGTTGAGTTCCTGGGAGTGACTCACAGGTAAGTCCACATGTAGTAGCTCTCAGACCTGAATTCCCAGTTTATCTACTTATTTATTCCATTTATGTCTCATTTTTCCATCAAAGATTCCAAAGCGATATACTCCTCCCGCTCCTCTCCATTTATGCACAGAAAAGTCTTGCATGGTAGGTGAGACTAAGATTTGGTGATGGCCCCAAAGTCACCTAGTAACCTTTGCGGCTGACGAGTGCAAAAACCTGCATCTCGTAACATCCTAGCCACTAAACCACACTGGCTCTCAGCTGTTAGACCATAGCTCAGATCATCATTTGCCATGTAGGCTGTGGACAGTGGGAGCTGTAGTCCAACAGCATCTGAGGACCCATGAGTGGGGTCTATAGGATAAGATTGCATTCCCAGTACAGTCTTTGAAGCCCTACAGGATTACTGGGATGGTTTTATACTTCTTTAGCCATTTATGTGTTTTAGGGGGATAGATATGCTATTGACATTATTTTTAATTTTCTTCAAGAAACATATTGTCATTGCTGCAGCAAAGTGGACTTCAGAGTGCATAGCAACTGGGAAATTTCTGGGAAACAGGCTAGCTGCAGAGGATCGCACATTTCTGATTCATAATCTTGTTCTTTTTTCCACCCTCCATATCCCTATCCTAGGAACTCTCTCTCCAGCTCAGTCAGGTCAAGGCTGAACTACAGGGAGAGCTGCATCAAGCCAAGAAGAGCTACAATCTTCTTCAAGCAGAACTTGAGAAAGTAGGTAATTTATACAGTAGGTGGAATGTTGAGACACAGCTAGTAAATGAAGAGAGGGAAATGAAAACACACAGTATGTATTTGCATAGAATGCAGTGTCCTTTGACTGGCCATTGAGGGAGCTCCTAGCTGGCTTCTCTATCTGATTTGAAGACCACTCTGTGGGTGCATCAGTATGAATGAAAGTCCTGCCATTGGTGTGACTGAGGAGTCCTAGTCCAGCTGGGAATGCCACCTGCTTCTTGGAGATCCCATTGGACTCATTGGATTAGAGTGTCTGCACAGTGTACAGGTGCAGAACCTCAGGCCTGGGCCAAAATCCAGCCCTCACAGTTCCCCAACAGCATTTTGCCTAACCACCGATCCTTGGTCCACTTCCTAGCTTTTGTGCAATTTTTCCCCTATTCTGCAAGGTTGAAACGAAGGTGGTCTGTAGCATTAGCGACATTTACGCCAGGGAAGCTCAGTTGTCTCCACAATTACGTCAGAGAACGGCTCTGTGAACATGACCTACACTTGGAGAGGAGTCCAGATGGTGGACTCCTTATTTCCCCCCACCCCCAGCCCATGTTTAATGTAAAAAGGGTACACATGGAACCAAACATACGGGCACCCTGGCCAGGTCCACACCGTGTTGCTCTAAAAATAGGGAAACTATTTATTATATTTATATCTCATCTTTTTCATGCAAGAAGTTCAAGATGACTCTTATAATCCTCCTCTTCCTTTTTTATTTTTATTATCATTATATTTTATTATTTATTATTTTATTTTATCCTCATAACAATCCTAGTAGGTAGGTTAGGGATTTGGTCAAAGCAAACTCCACGACTGAGTGGCAGCTAGAACCTGGATTTCTTGAGTCCCAGTCCAGCATTAGTTTAATAACATCTAAATATTACTTTCTGTAGAATTTACATTTCTTTTATCACAGTCTGTCAAGGTACAAGCTGAGATTGAAAGGAAAACATATGTTTCTTCTAGGCTTCACTGGTGAGCCCTGGCCTCTTCTATGAATCCTAAACAGTGAGCTGTTCACAATCAGAGCCTGAACATTTTCACAATTTAAATCTGGAAATTCCCCACAGACATGTTTCACATATGGTTAATTTTAGGAGTAGCTCAGGCCACAGATAATCTTGATGGCAAAGGATTTTCACTCAGATAGTTGGGTATTTGCAGCATAATTTTTTAAAGTTGTCCTCATCAGTAAATTCCCATCTATAACAAGAGTTTTCTGTACTGAATATTTGCACATGAGTGCAAATTAAAATCTGTCATCTTTTCTCCTATTAGACTCTCTCAGAAAAACAACAGCTGGAAACAAATGCCAAAGACTTTACCCAGAAGCTGAATCTCATGGACCAGGCTATACGAACAATGCAGCTGAAGGAAAATGAGCTGAAAAGAACCTGTGAGGTAAATTAGACATACAGAAGCAACTGTGCACATCTGAGTTTCTATAATCTGGTGTTTCTGAGCTTTGGCAAAGGACAGGACTATCTAAGATCCAGGATGCCACATGGCCCAGCAATGGTGCAGCTGCCCACTGTGATTGGCCAGAGCAGTCAAAATGGCTCCCAGCCAAGAATTGCAAGGGCATCTTTTAAAAATATGTAAAGCCAGTGAAGGACGGTATTGGTAGCATCTATTGGATAAAGGAGACTTTTGCCATATGTGGTGGAAGTGTGTTAAAACACATACATTCTTGGAAATGGTTGTTAATTCCAGCAGTGCTCTCTTTCACATAAGAATTCCCCTGGATTGCCTTTTCAACAGGCTCAAAAAGGAGTGTCCAAAGGGCCATTAGGAACAGCTGTTATATATATTAACAACAGCTGGGAATATTATGTCCAAGTTGGAAATATTGGAAGTCAAATGAGAGACCAGAAAGGCCAGAATGGTTTAATATGGTAGGAGAACAACTGAAATTGGTGAAGCAAATGGCCTGGAAAAGAAATTTAATGAAATCTCAAGAAGCAATATCCGTGTGGGAGATGGTTATGGAACACATGTGGATTTTTGTGTCTGACCTGGAATCTACAGAATGATAATGTTTTACCTTTGTGCCCAACTTTTTTGTAGCATCGATAAGAAACAAAAGAAGTTGCAGTCCTGTCTGTTCAGTACTGTGACTAATCTCCCTTCACTAAGATGCAGTCAGCTTGGTTGTTCTTACAGAGACTTGAAACCACATGCAGACTCCTCTATCCTTGCTGTGTGGAATTCACCCAGTTTCAGCTACCTACTCTAATGTTGGAGCATACAGAAGAGAGAGCACAGTGCTGTGGTTTTGTGGGTCATGTTCTGAATAACCTGGCCCAGCAAACCCCAGGGTGCACAACCAGGTCCTTTGGCCAACAGCTCCCTTTAGTCCTGGATAGTATAGTCAATGGTCAGGAATCATGAGGGTCGTAGGCCCAAAACCTACATGGCCTCAAATTGACTAGATACTACAACTATTTGCATCCGTTGTCCCCAGAACTGACAAAGTTGCTGATGGCTTTGCTAGGAAAAATGGGAAGGCATAAAAAGAAAGAGCTTGCTGTTTCCTTTGCATACAAAGCTTGGCTTTTGTGACAGGGCTGCAACCTTATTGGTCCAACTTCGATTCTGGAGGCTTTGATGTTAATCATGGAGGCTGCAAAACCCAGTGCACACACTGTCCTCTTAAACCATTTGACCTTGATCAAATTGTATTAGTGCTTTTTAAATCATCAGCTAATGGCCCTTCTGCTTGTGCTTAAAACTGTGTTAAGAAGTCTAACTACAGGATGCTCATTATACAGCACACATCAAAAACATGCCAGAAAAAAATGTGTGTGTATATGTGTTTTTTTGAAGAAATCCGGGCCTTTGTGCAGAATATTCGCACAGTAGTTTGCTTCATCTCTTCCTCCTCTTCTCTCGCACTTTCTTGTTACTTCTGGAAGCTGTAATGGGAAAAAAAGATAGATGAACAGAAGCGACACTAAGTTTAATCTTGCTCTCAGGCTGATTTGCTTAAATAGCTGGAAATGAAAACCTGCTTTGCCAGCAAATCTCCAGCTTATGCTCCACATCGTGGTTGTCCCTTTTCTTGAATTTGGCTTTGGTGCGCGGGTGCCCATCTGCTAGTAGTAACGAGATGGATAATTGAGGGCTGGAGACCAAGAAAGCCCTGCCAGTGCCATCTGTTGGCCATAGTGGCTCAGGAGTGGGTGGCGTTCATATGTCCATGACATTTTCTTTAGGAATGGCTCTTCATTGTTTCATCCCAAGAGGGACAGAATTATGGCGGGGGGGGGGGGCAGGTGTTAAAAGAAAGAACCCAGAGCATCCTAGACAGTTCCACATTTCCTGCTGCTTGATAGGAAAAAGAAGCACGAACTCACTACTGTGAAGAAGCACATGCAGGCTTGGTTTTATCTGTCCCCAACATACTTGCTACCTGGGCAAAAGGCCTGACCTCCAAACCTTCTGAGTTCTAACCTGTCATGAGTCCCAGTTTTGCTCGTAGACCTTGACCTGCTGTCTTTTCTCCCTCTCTCTCTCTCTCTTCAGTCAAGCTCTAATGGGGCCCTGCCAGGGTTGTGGTTCTCTGGTACTTTTGTCCTGCAAAAACCTTGCCCAGGCATAATTTATAACAGTCTAGAGGTTTCCTTACTTAGCAAATGCCGCTTGGCAGGAAGTCTTATGCACTGCCTGTCAGCTGTAGGTTGCCAGTGTGATAATGTTCTGCTGACATCCTGCTGATGCATAAAAATTATAGGGCAGTTGCCTACTGAATTGCTCACACACAAGCAAATAGAAGGCTTATCCTATGAATAGAAGGCTGCCTGTGTTTATTTAAACAGCATAACTAGCAGCTGAAACATGGCTTCATTTGAGAAAGTTTGAAAGTGTCCTTAGCTATGGTATGTATTGCGCAGAAGGGTGTGACTCCATGTAGTTTGGAGAGCAACCCTGTTGGTCCCTGGGAAAGCATCTTCAAGGCCATAGGATTTTTCAGAGTGTCTCTCCCAAAGCCAGAGGTGCTCCTACAACTTCTGATCTAATCCTTCCCCCTCACCCGGCCCTGTGGGGAAGAATCACAGTTCTTGCTTTCAAGGTTGTAAGAAAGCAACCTCAAACTGCTATGGGGAGCAGGAAAAGGTTGCAGAGGGGAGAGAGACCAGAGGCAAGATAAATAGATTATGGTCTGTGTGTCGTTCTTTTACTTTGCACAGTTGCTCCAGTAACACTTTGAACAATAGTGACCTTTTGTTGAGTCTATAACTGCTTTCGCTAACCTGGTCTCTTCCATATCCTACAAGTCCCATAATCCCAAGTCAGTGTGGCCATTGCCTTGTTTATTGTGGAGTATGGGAACCGTACTCAACCTATCTTGAAGGCACAAAGTCAGGGAAAGCTACTCTAACGTATTCTAAGTATGCACAGTGCCCCAGTTATTAATGTCCAAGTTAAGAACAATCCCTGCATACAGTCAAGCAAACCAAAAAGGCCTGCTTCATTCTTGAGCCAAGTGGGCACCTGTGGCCAGTGAGGAGATGAAGGAAGGGAAGAATAGGAAGGGAGGAGGAGGGGAAAAGCAGCAAGTGGCAAAGCTGGAACTAGAAAGCAACTCCATAGGTAACCCACCCCCTCCAGCAGCACAATCAAATCCTGACTCTCCAGCACCAGATTCATCTTTGCCAATACCAGTCCCATCTCCATCATCATCCAGTTAATGTTAGCTCAAGAAGGGCTAACCTTTAATAATCTTGCTACTATTTTTCTATCATTCTATATAAACCATTTTAATAAACGTAGTGTATACCAACACACACAGATTCTCTTTTCAACACCTGCAGTTACTTTATTGTTACTGTATTGTCATCATTATTAAAATGATGTATTCTGTTTAAGTGTATATGGAAGTGTTTTAGTGTGTCATATGCTTTTTATATAAGTGATCTGACTTACATACAAATTCAATTTAAAGACAATCTCAGGAACGGAATTGTTTTTAATCTGGGGACTGGGTGTAGCTGCTTTGCACTCAAAGAGTTCCCTGTGAACACGCAGTGACTGGTTTTTAAATCATGGTGACAGTTTGAGTTGTTTAACCCAAGAATTGTGAAGAACAGTTTTCATAAGTTACATGCTCATAGTTTCCATTTTTAATCAACACAGGAACTTGTTTGTTTTATGACGTATGAACCCCCACTCCCAAAATAACCGCTAGGTTAAGAGTTAAACAACTCAGAATTAATCCAGCAATTGCACATGGTTGTTCTTGCGTTGTTGACTAAAAACAGAAGTGAGGAACATGCTGCTTGTTTGCTGTGTTCATCCCTTAGTTCCTGGTTTAAACAATCCAGGTATTGTTGTAAGATGTGTGAACTGGATCTCAAAAGAACACGAGCCTGTTTCACATGTACATTCTGAGCTTGCTAAACCATATTCTGGCAAACCAGGAATACTTATCAAGCCTGTACACACCATATTCACTACCTCTCTTCCTTGGCCCATAGATGCTGACTTTCTTATACTACAATTCCTGCTTTGGCCTAAAGAAAGATTTTGACCATGACTCCAAGGAAAAGTCATGATTACAGCATCTCACTAATATCCAGCTTGTTAAATTATGAATGAGAGCAAGCTGGGAATGTGTACAAGTATTTGAACTGGCCCTGTAGTCATTAACAGTGCCTTCTGCAGTTATATTAAAGAAGGAAAACATGTTTTCTGCAGCCTCTTTTAAATGTTTTAAATGAAAATGGGATGTTTTAAAAAAGTTTTAACTGAGTTGTTCTGAATTATTTTTAAAGGTTTTTTTGTATGGGGATTTTGTATTGTAATTTTCCATGCAGTACACTACTTTGAGCTGTCTTTTTATATATAATCTAGAAATCTACAAATTTATTGGTTGATTGAATATCTTTAACTGTCAGTGATTAAATTCTTGGTATTTTAGGAAATAAAACAACAAAACCATCTTCTCACTTGCCAGTCTGCTCAACAGTTGCAGGAGATTTGCCAATTAAAAGATGACCTCTGTGGAGCCAAACAGCTTCTGCAACAGAGTCAGCATTTTGCAGAAGACATGAAAAGTGAGTTACCAATTTTTGTCAGGCTTCAATGCCATCTCAAAGCTTCCTTCAATGCCAAGTCCCCATGTATAGCATGTATGAGGGAAACTCTAGTTTGGTATGCATGGCACAAGCTGTTCAGATGAAAAGCAACAGTCTGTATTGTTACGGAGTGTTTGATTCTTATTTGATTTTAATGTTGTAAGCCGTCCTGAGACATTGTCGTAAAGGACGACATATAAATGTTTTAAATAAACAAACATCCCACTTTTAGATACACTTGGCAGTATAGGAATCTATATAATGGTGATTTTAAAAATGTTCTTAAATGCTTTTATATTTTTCTTTTAATCACCTTATCTGTAGACAAAAATTGTTCTCTAGAAACAGAATTAAAAGTACTTGAAGAGAAATTGAAGAAAGAAGATGATGCTTTCACTTTAAAGGAAATGAAAGTTGTCATTTCTGACTTGGAAAAAGAACAAGATTCTCTCCAGCAGCTTTTGAAACATAAAGAAAACATAATTGAAGAGCTGAGTATAAAACTGGAGGATCTAGAAACTTTGCAGAAAGGAGTTGTAGAGTGTGAAGGACCTAAAAAAGAGATTGAGGTCCTTTCTCAGTGGAAGGAAGAAAGTGAGCAACTCTTGAATCAACTTGGTGTAGAAAAAGAAGAACTGATGAGCAAAATTAGCAACTTGGAAAGGGCTTTGAAGACTGAACAGTTTATAAGTCTTGAGAGAACAAGAGCCATTGAAGTTGAAAATGAAAATCTTACTGTGGAGATCAACAGTCTAAAATGTATGGTGGAAAACAAAATTGTAGAACTAGAGGAACACAAAAAAGCTTACATTGATCTTCAGCAAGAAAACGCAATGTCTGAAGAAAAGCATAGGAAAGAGAGAGAGAACAATTCACTGAAATTATCTGAGTTCACCAAACAAGTGGATGTCCTAGAGAAAAAGCTACAATCAACAGCAAATGAAGTATTAGACAAGGAAAAATGTATTGCTGCTCTTGAAACATCTTTAGCATCCCACATGCAGCTAAATGCATGCCTTCAGAAGCAATGTGAAGAGCTGTCCCAAGCTAGAGATGAAATAGAAAGAAAATTAGCTGAAGCAGAGCAAAGGGGAAAAGACTTTACGCAGGAGACAGGACAGCACCTTAGCAGGCTGCAAGCATCCCTTTCTGAAAAGCAGGACTTGCTTGCTGAAGTGTTAGCTGCTCTTGAGGAAAAAGACAAGCAATTACAAGCGTTGATTAAAGAGCACGGGCAACAAACAGAGATCCAGGATTTAAAAATCAATAGCACATCACCCAAGTACTCAGCACAACAGCTAAAAGTTATGTCTCAAACAATAAGCCAAAAGGAACCAGATTTGTCTGCAGAAATATCCATAAGTAAAAAGGAAACTGAAGGACTTCATGATCACAGTTCCAGGCTTAGGTGTGCTATGGCTACTCCAGGACAAAAAAAATTAAGTTTAATGCAAACAAAACTACTTCTTTCCAATAGCCTGGAGAAAAGAGAGGGAAGCTTCTCAGAGCTGTCAGAAAAGCAGAAAAGGAAGAGCTTGTTACTGTCCGAAGCTGAAGGTTTGGAAATGAAATGTATGTCACTGGAAGCCCAGGTAGAGAACTTAGAAGGTGCTTTAAGAGAGCAAGCTTGCCATTTTGAAGTAGAGAGAAATGAATTTGAAACCCAAGAGAAACAACAGCTGCATAAATGTGAGGAGCTGCAGCATAAGATTGTGTCCTTGGAAGAAAAAAATAACATCTTACATGGGCAGCTTGAAAACATTCAGCCAGTACCTGAAGAAGCTGAGATTTTAGGGCAGGAGAGTGTGATCCAAAATAATGTACAACCTCATGACAGTGTCTGGCTGCAAGAGAATAAGCAACTGATCAAGGAGCTGAAAATAAGGAATGAGAAAGGAAAAGGTGGCTTTCCTTTAGACAGGGCTTCACTGGAATCCTTGAGACTATCCATGAAAGAAAAGGAGGATGAGCTGAATAAGTATCAAGTTAAGCTTGAGCTGCTTCAGATGGACCTTGAAGATAAAGAAATCTCTGTAGAAAACTATGCTGATCAAGTAAAACAGCTGGAGATTGTGTTGAGGACTATGGAAATAAAAGTGGAGAGAAGTGAAATGGAAAAAGAGAAACTGAAGCATGAGTTGCAAGTTCTTAAAGAACTGGGAAATCCAGCTTTAGAGATTGCAGAAGAGGATGGAAATAACCATTCACCAGTATCGTCCAGAGCTGTAACCAAGGAAAACTTTAACCAACAAATAGATTCTAAGTGTTCATCAGTTCCTCCTGATCTGACACTCAGCCAAAATGATTATGCCCAATTAGCATCTTCCTTACATGTGACAATGAGCATGCTAAATGAGTTGGAGAAAATGTGTGAACACCTGCAGACAGAAAAGTCAACATTAGCATCACAGCTGAAACAGGCCCAGTTGGAATGCATCACAAGCACAGATACTGTGGCAGAAGAACTTGTGGAAAAAATTGGTGAGGACAAAGAAAAGAAGGCTCCTTTTTCTGTTGAGTTAATAGGCCCATATAAATTGGGAGCACAGTCCGATATTGATCAAATCTCCTTAATGACTGAGGAACATTGTGTTGGACTTGACTATGCAGATTTGAAATTAACCAGCAAACAAATTAAAACATGCCTTGATGAGGTTAAAGAAAAGGCCTTGTCTTTGAAAAATGAATATAACATTTTTCAGGAGCAGTCTTTGAATATGATCTCCAAAATATCAGAATTACAATGTTATAGTGAAACACTTAAAGAAGAAAATACTGCACTGCCAACAAGCTTCAACCAAGTCAGTACTCCTTCACTCACAGTGCTGATGACCCCAAGCCCAGGAGATGAAAAGTTTCAATCAGATAGAACATTTTGCATGGGGATTCCATGTTTCAGTGAGACTGTATTTTGTGGAACATTGATTGCTACAGAGGCTGCTTTTAATGGTGATCACAACAAAACAACAAATGGAATAAGTGGACCAAACTCTGACAAAAAAGCTAACCTAAAAGGTACACCTGACAAGCATCACAATTCCCTTGTAGAACTGTTCAGTAACTATGCTTGGGTCTTTCCCATGAAGCAGGAACATGTCATATCAAAAGAGGAAAAAATGATAAATATGATGGAACACCTGCTATGTGAGGATTATGAAAATTCCTTCAAGATGATTGAAGAATCATTTAGGAGTCATAAAAATCTGGAAGATGAAGAAATTCAAAAGATTCAGGGGCTGCTCCTTTCTGCAAGGGAAGAAATAGATGGCCTCCAAAAGCAAAATATATCTGACAATGAAAAATGGCAACAGAAACTTCATCGTGTGATCCTGCAGATGGCATCTGAATTGCCAGATGAGAGGAAAGCTGAGCCACAGCTCCCTCTACGAGGACTTGATGTCAGTTGTCAGCCTTTGCTCTGTGTTGACCCTGAACCTGTAAGTGTGTCTAATTTCTTATCATGCAGACATAAGACTGAAAGAACCCTTTTAGACAAGCTCAAGGGATTACCCAAGTAACCCATGTTTCCCTTTTGTTATTGGGAAGTAGGAGAGTTTCTTTGCTGGAAGAGAAGGATTGGTGGAGAACGTAGTCTCAGCAGACTGTCTCATTCCTTTGGATGGAGTCAGATGGTTTTAAAGGGTATCTCTTTTATATCCCAGTTTGCAATGTTTGACAACATGTCATTCTTGTATGGTCAGAAACACATTTTTGTTTTTCTCTCTGAAATCTAAATGAACAGCTATTCATTAACTGTTATATTTACAGTCTGAGGTTGTGACCATTATTGCCAATTAAATTCCATTCTTCTCTGGCTCCAGCCAAAAAAATATATTGTATGAGCAGACACTCCATCTGTGACAGCAAAAGAGCAGTCTTGTCACTTTTCTGTTGAATACGCCAAGACTATTGAGTATTAGCATTTAAGATCTAGGTTTTCCATATATTAAAATTACCATCACGTGTGTGTAGGAGTTGTATGTGGACCATCATGGAAGAGGAAGATACGCATTATGGAATTATGTGTTCATGTGAAGAGTAGCTTATACCACAGTTAATGGAGGAGATCAAAACAAAAGCTGAACCAGACACTTTTGTGATCCACCATACACCTTGTAAGAAAATCCCAGTATTTCCAGAAAATCGCACAAAGGATGGCATACAAATATCTTAAATAAATAAACAAATAAAATAAATAAAATCAACAGGACAGACCATCCTAGAATATCAGGGTTATTCTGCATCTCCTGGAGCATGATAGTTGGCTACCTATTTTATTAGACATCAATAAGTGTGATCACATGCAAGTTTCAGCCGAAAAAAGACCGACAACTCCCAGCATGCGCCAACGAGTTTTTTATTAAACTAGCATAGGATTGCACTATAAACAGTCCAAGTCTTTGATTTCGTCCTTGACCTGATTTTTTCCTCTGAGTTTACCCTAATATTATGCAACATACATGCTTATGCAACACATTTCTGCAACACCTTCAACAAGACCATTATTACCCAGGCTGGCTAGTAATAGTCAATTAAAGGCAATACGTAAAGTGAAAAAAAACATACAGAAACTAAAATAGCAACAAGTCCATACAGCCCATACAGACAGTTTAAGGTTAAAATCCCAAAAGAGCTTCAACATTCTGAAAAGCTGAAAGAAGTTTTTGCCCAGTGCCTTAAAACAGAGGTGGGCCAGTGTAGGGTCACATACAGAGCTTGGCCTTATTTCAGAATCTCTTTATGCCCTCAGTTCAGGCTAATGAACAAAAGAACCCTTTCCCAGCAGCCTGCCGGGAAAAGAGGAGCAGGAAGAGAGAAGATGATGTCAGAAAGAGAGAGGGGAAGTGCCTTTATCACTGGCATGCAATCCTCAACTGGTAACATCTCCCATAACAACCCTAGAATATGCTCCTCAACGGGAAAAAAATCCCTAAATTCCAACAAAGTGGGCAGCAGGTGTTTCTAGGAAGGGCAGTCTTCAGATGAGCAGTTATCACAGAAAAGATTGAGTGTCTGGCCACAGAATTGCACTCTTCTTGGGCAATGGCCTAAGAAAATCTTTGGGTTATGATTTTGTCAGCTTGGCCGGCTTGATGCAGAAGGTGATCCAAAAGCTACAGGGCTTAGAGGCAGTTAGTGCTGTATAGGATTAGAAAAGTTACAGTTAATAACAACACTGATCCTATTCCCTAAATAGCTAGTGCTGCCTTCCCTAACCTGGTATCCTCCATGTTGGCTGGGAATTATGGGAGTTGCAATCCAACATGTCCAGAGGGCACCAGGGTAGGGGAAGACTGAGCAAGTCTCCCAAACTTTAGAGTTTGAAACACTCCACAAATCACGTGTTTTCCAGTGTGCACATTTTAATAGTTTCTAGTACTTGCTAAGTAGCTTTCACTGTATAACAATGACTCTTTTTATCTACGTTTAGCAAGTGGTGTTTCCACCTGAGCAAGGAAATGATCACTCATGCCATCTGGGAATGAATGCCTTGTCTAGTATAAGCACAGTGCTTGAAGCTGTGGATCATAAAGCAGCCATAAAACCCTATGAAGAAAATGGATCAGAAGTCCAAAGAACTGCTTGTGAAGCAAAAGTTAGTATAAAATCTACAGCAAAATGTCTCCCAGATTTAGATAAATACTCCAGAAATGCAGCAGATGAATCTGTAAGTCATCTAAACTGTCCTGATGAGCTATCGCTTCCTCCAAATCACAACACAAGTATAATGTCTGGAAATTTCTTGGAGAACCGCTGCAGCAGTGAAATATCTCAGCAACACATAAAACAAGCTTATAGTCAAAACTCCAAGACTTCCCATGACATGGAGGAAAGTAAGGAAATAATTAATACTCTGCTAAAGGAAATTCAAAATGCAAAATCAGATTTGGATTCAAAGGCCAAAGAGTTGGCTGAAAAGAGAACTTCTTGCATAGAGTTAAACAAAAAAATCTTATTCCTCGAACAAGAAAACAAAGACCTCAGTGAAGCACTTAAATCTGTTACTTCTGATAACCAGCAATTATCTTATAATCTTACGATACTTGAGATAGAATTTAAGAAAGCAAAATCTGATCTGGAAGTAAACAAAATTAGATTGTCTGATACTGCAGATGCTCTAGAAGATTTAGAAATGACCAAGGCAGACTGGGTTGAGAAGCTTCTTGAAGTGGAAAATGATCTAAGGAAGATAAAATCTGAAAAAGGGAATGTTGAAAGGCATGCCCTGTCCTTGGAGGCTGACCTTGAAGAGTTTCAGTCAAAGAATGAGCTGTTAGAAAAAGAAATTGAAAATAAACTGAAAACCATTTCTGGCCTTCAAGAACAGCTTTCTGTAATCACAGCTGAGAGAAATCAATTTAGTCAAGAGCTCAGTACTTTGTCAATTGATAAAGAAGAACTGGATCAAATACACAAAAAAATGCAGGCAAAGATCAAAGACCTTGAGCTGAGTCAAGTGGATTCTGCTGAATTTATCAGGATATTGGAAGCTGAAGCTCGGAACCAGGCAAAATTGCTTCAGGCCACAAAGGCTGATTCTGATCAGTTATCAACAGAAAAGGACTGCCTCATGCTGCAGTTGCAGAATTTGGATAAGCTTGTGCAGGAACTTGCATTAGAAAAAGAAGCTGCACAAAACCAAATGGAGCATCTAGCGGAGGAAAAAGAAGTGAGCCTTAGGGAATGTGAAAGTTTATCCAGCAAGTTAAGTACCTCTGAAATGGAGAATGCCAAAAAGTCCAAGTTTTTGGAAGGGTCACTGAAAGAAAAGCGTATACTTGCAGCAAGATTGAAATCTGCCCAGGAAGAAGTACATGACCTGCAGCGGGGCATGGACCAACTTACAAAGAGAATATTATCTGATGAAAAAAGCAGGCAACGCATGGCCGAAAAGCTAAAAGAAAATGAGCGGAAAACTGACTCTCTTCTGGACAAAATTGAGCACCTTGAAAGGGAATTGCAACTGTCAGAAGAAAATTTGGAAAATGCCATTCTTCAGACTGAGCTGGCCAAAGCAGAGACAGAAACAGTGACTGCTGAGGTAGGAAAGCTGCATGAGAATTTGCACAGCTTACAGTGTGAAATTAACGTCTTAAAGGCAGAAAAAGAGTGTCTAGGGAGAGAGCTGGAAGAAAATCGAGACAAAGTATCCAGTTTAGAAGTGAGTAATATCACACTTGTGAAACAGTTGGAAGAAATGGAAAAAAGAAAGGTGCAAATTGTTGGCAGTTATGAAAACATGTTGGCACAAGTGGCATCCAAGCTGAAACAGATCTGTGAAGAAATGAAACTTTTTCCTAGCAAGCAAAAAACTTACAAGGCAAAAAAAGAGGACCTGATTAATGAAATAACTTCACTCAAAGATGAGAATGCACGGCTGGTTTATTTCCTGGAGGAAGCAAAATGCAAAAATTCTGAACTAGAACAGTTGATGGAAACCTACATCCAGGAATTCCAAGACTTTGAACAAAAATTTAATGAAAACGATTCTTCTCTTGAGCTAAAAAATGAAACTTCACAGGTTTTCCCTGAAGATCCACAGGTGTCTTCCAAACATCCTGAAGAGGAGTTGGAAGCCAGAACATCTGAACAGTACACCTTGCTTGGACAGGTAATTTATATCCCATTATCATCGGGGATAGAGTACTTAATAGGTCAAGGTTGGGCAATCTGTAGTTTTCCAGATGTTTTGTCCTCTGATTGAGGTCATTGGATGGCATGGCCCTTGGTTGTTTTGAGGAACCCAAGGCCTGGCTGGAGTCCACCCAGAGAGGTACCTTCAGCTTGGTAGCTCCATTAAAGTGGAATTTGCTGCCTCTGGATGTGAGACAGGCAACAATATAGTGCTATTTGCGGTACATCCTGAAAACACACATTTCAAGAACCTTCTCTTTTCAGCAGCCATCTCTTTCAAAATTGATATTCTGTTTAAATATGAGACATTATGCTTTTTACCTTTTACTGTTCACTGCCCCCATATACAGTATGTGCAGAAGAAAAACAGTGTTTAAAGGTGGTAAGATAAACTCCCATCAGCCCCAGCCAGCATAGTCAGTCATGAGCAGTGATGGGAGTTCTAAGCCAAAGCATCTGGAGGGGCACAACCTGCCCTACACCTGCTGTAGGTTAACAGCATCCATATGACATTTAATGCTGCTTACATTTGGAAGATTTCCTAAAAAGTAGAGGGGAAATGGGCTGTGAAGACAAAATGAACTAACCACTGGCAAATAAAAAGCACAGCATGATCAATAGCAGAAAATAATGATCATCTTCTACATGAGTATCAGGTTTCAGGATGGAGTTCAACGATATATACATGATTTAAAACCTAATGCAATCATCTTACCATTAACCATGATGACTTGACAAATTCAGTTGATGGAAATTACAACACCAACTAAGGGATTACCTTCATTAAAATCCCTGAGTAGACTAAAAACTTCTTAATCTCGTTCTGAAAAAGCTGTAAATGAAAGTGACAGACATGCCTTTTTGGGAAGGACATGTCAAAACCAGGAAGTCACCACTGAGAAAGTTTTGAGTACATCACACTCTTCTGATGAAGAAGGCTCTTCTGGTGGGGTCTTTACAGAAGACAGGAAGGCAGGTATGGGAAGACTCATTCGTTCCGCTCCCAATCATTCAAGGCTTTAAGAGGCACTGGCAATTTACACTGGGGTAAAAGTGAACAGAGAACCAGTGCAGTTAATTTGATTGTCTGAGCAGTGTCCACTCCAATGACATGACTTTTTCATTTTGTTTCTCATTTTACAGCCAAGTAAACTTCAGAAGATAGTGCAACTTAAGGAGGAATATAATTATTTCTGTCACAAATTCCAGCAGTGGTTGGATGATGGTAGGAAACTGAAGCAGGGAAAAAAACATATGGTGAAGCAGATCCACGAACTTGAGACTCAATTGAAAATGGCAGATGCATGTATGTTGCACATGTTTTTTATGAGTAGTTCTTTTTCATCAATAGTGCTAGCTGCTGTTAGAATACCAAAATGCTTAGTTCGTGCTTGCTTTGAAACATAGGTACACTGGAATTCTGGTTGGATTATACTGAGCCTTTGTATCCCTTTTATTCAGCCCCTTTTATCTTCTCTAACACTCTGTCCACCAGCTACTTGCTCTTTCAGCCAGATATCCCTTTCTTGTTTTCTATTGAAAAGGTCTAGCAAATTCAGAATATAGCAGTTTTATTCTGCCCTGTAGCCCAAATAGCCAATAGAATGACCTGCAAATTATGTCTGAAAAATAAAAATTAAAACTATTTTAATATCTCATGCAATATGACAAATAATTAGTAAAAGAACAACCAAAATGCAAGCAAGCAATCCTCCAAAACATACTCTAAGCAAGCAGCAAACACAGACTGAAAAAACACATTTAAAAATGGAGGGAGTTACACAACCTTGGTAACACTGCCAGAAAGACTCTTTCCCAGAGGATTCATCCACCGCACTGGCAGAATGGGGTGCTCTGAGGAAATTCCTAAGGTATAGGGTAGTAACGTATCTAGAAGAATACATAATGGACTCTTTCTCAAACAGGCTTTTCAGATGTATTAATGTGCCCTGTGGGTAGTTGGTCAGATATTTAACCCCACATATTGCAGGAATTGGGCCCACTGCTTCATGCTTCAGCCTTCAGAGGCTGTTAAATTGAATCCTGATTGAGAAGAGGAGGAGTCAGCATCAGCAGCTGAATCGTCAAGCCAGGCGTTGCTGAGAATCAGAGAACTTTCCCCAGGCTCTGTGGGAAAGTCTAGTGAGCGAGCTGATAGGGAGGAACAGACCCAGCATCATTAGTCCAATGCTGCAGTGTCAGGGTAACTGGTTGACCAACTAAGAAGTGTTGGATGTTCCAGGTGAGTGGCCTTTAAGCAGCTTGATGCACCTTGAAGGTCTTGTTTCGAATGAAGGAAAGGTATTCATGTTAGAGTCAACTTGATACCATTTAGCTTCATTTTCCTAAAAGTTGTCTAACTTTTGCTTATTTTCTTGGTTATTGCTTCTTTTCTTATTTTGCATGACAAAGCCAGTGTAGCTGGTCAGCTTTAGCATAATAAAGACTTCAGTTAGAAAGCCTTTGCCATGATATACTTAGAAGGATGGAGAGAAGACAGCTGACACAAATACTTTATCTAATATACCTTTTAGGTTTTTAAGCCTTTTAAGTAACAAGCCTTTGTGATTCACACAGGTTCTCCGGGAGTTGTTCCTATGGAGGAAATAAGGTTGGAACTGGAAGGACTGAAGGAATCACTTGAGGAGAAAACCACAGAGGCAGGTGAGAACCTGGAGAAGTACTGCGCCTTGATAATTAACCTCCATAAATTAGAAGAAGACAATGAGATGCTAAGAACACAAGTCTCTCTACTGAACACTCAACTCAAACAGTTGTCACGTGCCACCAGTTCTTTCCAAAGTTCAGGAGGTCCAACAAAAATTGCAGATGAGCTGCTAATGGAAAAGCCATTGTCTGGAAGCACAGCTGCAGAGGGACAAAATTGCCAAGGAAACAGAGAGAGCACCAAGAAGACAAGAACTTTACCAGAGGCTGTCATTAAAGAAAATGAAAATAAAACCACATTTCATCAGCATGGCCCAGCAGGGCCCCCAGGCAGCACAGAATATGGGTCAGACAGCTTTCCCAAGACTGGGGGCAAAGGTAAACAGTGTTTGTTTAAAATAGAAGTAATTATTCCTATGGTTATAATTTTAAATATATTTGACTCTGGTTTTGGGGTGTCACGAATAATGAACATAAGACCTAATACTATGAAGGAACATGGGAAGCTTTCTGAGACAGTTTATTGGGCCGTCTAGTTCAGCATGGCCAGCATTGACTCACATTGACTCTCCGGGTGTTGGCCAGGCTATTTTCCAGCAGTACCTGCCCAGGACAACGGCAGTCCAGACTAAACAGTGCTGTGCTGGATGAGTCCATAGTCTGATTCTTTATAGTGGAACCTCATTTTATTTAAGCTTTTATATGCTGTTAGTTAGTGGAAAGCACTCATAACAGTGTACACTAAAAGCCATATAAAAACAGTACCTAATATCAAGTAAATAATTTCACCATAAGTAGAACATCTACACGACCAACCAAATTCAAACAAAACAATATTTGACAATAAATAATAAAATAAAGGTGAAGGTTTCCCCTTGACATTAAGTCCAGTCATGCCTGATGCTAGGGGGCGGTGCTCATCTCCGTTTCCTGGCCGATGGAGCCAGCGTTTGTCCGCAGACAGTCTCTGTGGTCATGTGGTCGGCATGACTAAACACTGTAGTGCACGGAACGCTGTTACCTTCTCACTGAAATGGTACCTTTTTATATACTTGGATGTGTATGCTTTTGAACTGCAAGGTTAACAGGAGCTGGGACAGAGCAATGGGAACTCACCCCATTGTGCAGATTCGAACCGGCGACCTTTCAATCAACCAGCCCAGCAGCACAGTGGTTTAAGCCACTGCACCACCTGCATCCCAATAATAAAATGCATTACCATAATTTAACAACTAATCCACAATGTACCAATATTGGTCCTGAGACCATTTGGTAGTGGATAGTATACAAAAGTTTTAAATAAATAAATAAACATAAAAATATGAGTATACATAAAAACCAATATAAAATCAAAGAATCAGATTTAATAGTTTAAAATAGGAGAATAGAACAGCTTTAACCTGGTGCTGAAATGTTTACAAGATCCACATCAGGCACAGCTCCCTAAGAAGCTGGTTCCATAGTTGGTGCACCAGCACTAAAAAGGCCTTTCCCTCGTGGCCCCCTTCATGAAAGGTGGCTCCTGGAGAAGGACTTCCATAGATGATCTCTCGTGCAAACTATGGCCTGTTTTCCATAATTCTGGTTTGTTTCTCTGTAACCCATTTTTCCAATCTCCAGACTTGCTGGCTGCCTTTTTTCCCACAGGAATAGCAGTTCTGGCTTCAGACATTATGACAAACCATGATTAAATGTGTTAGACTTCTCAAGCCAAGTCCAATCATGGATCTGTGGGGTGTTGCTGCTTAGCAAGCCATGGTTTGTTTGCAAGAAAAGTTTTGGATACAGCAAAAAGCGGGTTTTTTTGCTGCTACAAACTGCAGCATGTCACAGTGGTGTGAGAACCAGACTGCACACTTCCTCCTGTTCTTCTTTCCCCATAGAATAAGAGATGAGATCATATAGTGTCAATAGTGTGGGGTGTGTGGGGCAGGAGAAGATTTTGGAAGCTGGAGGATGAATCTGTAGATGTCACATTGCATCAGCGCTAGTAATTTGCGGACCACGCCGTGCTGATGAAAGAATACCGTGGGGTGGCTCCAGAATCCAAGTTTACATGTTAGCGCTGGGGATGAGGAATCCTGCTCTTCCTCGGAATTGCTCAGGGCTGGACACTTGATATTCTGTACAACACTAGCAGGGACTGACTCCCAAAAGGAAATAATTATTTTTTCAGGTAGGTCATGCCAGTGCAGGTGATGGAGCAAACCTATTGCTCATAATTTGGGAAATGTGAAGGGATCGAATTGGAAGGATTTGAGAAAGGCATTTCTGAAAAATCTCACATAATTTCCAAGTGTTGCAGTGCCTGACTCAGAATGGGTAAAATGCTTATTTGACAGTGGCTTCTTGTTTGCCTCCCTTTTTAAAAACTATTCAGTGTGTGCATTTGATACTGTTGATTGCAACAAATTTTCCTGCTCAGGGTTTTCTGATACACCTCCAAGAAACAGCGAAAAGTGCTTAACTCCACGGACATGCCCCTCGCCCAGGCGTCCAAGCTTGAGATCACTGCAGCTTCCTGAGAACTCAGCTGAGAACTATCACTGGTTTGACAACCCCGAAGCGACAGCAGAGGGCAGCAGACGACCAAAGGTGACTAGTATTAACCTGTATTTGAATGTATCCAAGCTCTAGAAATTCATACTGTTCATTTGATTGCCCAAGCGCTTTATGTGTCTTTTGTTTGTGACTTATATAAGTATGGTATCAGCACAATAGAATCCAGACAACACATCTTCCTTTCCTTCCTTGTGATCAGAGTTGCTTCCAGACAGAGGGCTCCTATTACTGATAAGGCATTATAGCACTATTTATGTATTTATTTTTATACGCAGAGAGAATTTGTGCTCTTTTTCTGATCATTTGTTTTTAAAGAGGGACTGAAGCCAGTCCTGTCTCCTTCAGGGCCAATGTGTGTTGTGTTGTGTTGTGATTTTATTTTATTAAGCTTTTCTATCCCGTTCCCTACAAACATCTTGGGACAGCTTCCAATAAATAATGTTTATTGTAGGTTCCTGTGTCAGCTGGTGTCATTTATTGCTGCATGTATACATCTCTGAATCAGGGGCATAGTAATTAACTGTGTATGGGCAAAAGGTAAATCTGGATCTACAGGTGAAGAATTGCCAGTGCAGTGCCACCAATGCTTGCTGCTACTGTGGAGAAAAGCAATGATTTGCCCCTGCAATCTGAGGGCAAAATTTTATTGCTGCTTTTCTCTGCAGTACGAGGCACAAAATGTGTAAGCATTGGTTTACACTAGTGCAGACTCATTAGCGCTTATTATTGGGATGAATTAACAATGTCTTTCTTGCTTGTTTCCAGATAAACAACGCTCAGCTCCAAGGAATACAAGCGGCCGGCTCACCGTTAGGCTTTACCCCCAGATCTCCCCTTTCTGCCCCTAATCAGTCAACCCAGGCAGTTTCTGGAAAATCCGCTGAGGACCTCGGTGTGATCCAAACCAGTCATTCTCTGAGTACAGAAGAAAATCAGCTGGATGAAGCCTGCCATGTTCAATAACCCTGGAATAAGACTATTTCAGACAAACCATCCTGAGGATAAAGGCTTGTTCTGACATGACATTTGGACCAGGGGAGATCAGTCCATGAACTTCCTTTGGGGCCATGGTGCACCATATACAGTTGGTGTCAGAGATGTGCATTCACTGCTGCATTTCAGAGTCTGTGCCCATTCCTACGGCATGCGTCTGTGTGCTAAAAACATTAGTGGTACCACAGATGTGTGCATGTACACAAGGGGCTGACAGGAATACAGGAGGAGGAAAAGTCCTGCTTGGTCACTTTTTTTGGCAAGGTCCCTGCCACAGCCTTTCTTCAGTCAGTCATCCTGAATCGGAACTGAATTCCACCCCATTTCTATTCCCCATATATATGTGGAGAGAGTTTTCTGGTGTGCACTGGGCCCAGACCCTGCCTAGGATGGGGTTGGAAGGTAACTTCCTCATCTAATTCAAATTATCCAGGAATGGGAAATCAACTCATTTTGGTTTACCTCTGGCTGTGCTTCAGATGCGGCCACTGTCTTCTCTTTCTGTAATCTGTCTAGGTACAAAGACTTCTAAGCCAGAACATACTGGAATAGAACCACAGGCAAGTTCTGGCCTTGTCTAATACTTTCTTAACTGAAAAACATAGAAAAATGTGCATTCTTAAATCAAGTCCAGTAGCTCCTTGCCTCTGGTTTTGACATTGGGATTTCGGAGCATTGCTGGCTTGCAGACAGTCCACCAAAGCTATTGGCTAAAATAACCACTTAGAGAATATTTTAAAAAGTAAGAAAAGGCAAACAAGAAGAAAATTGTTGTGTGCTGCAATAGGTCTGGATTTGACATCATTTCAGATAAGAAACGTTTGGAACGGTAATTTTCCAATTGGAACACATTGCCTCAAGGGTACTCATGCTCTCATCAAGGTTACAAAGTACCTGAGGGATGCCGATTAAAGACACTTCAGGGAACAGAAATAGCTTGCTGCCGGTACAATCCTGCTAAGTGGGTGGCTTTTCCCCTCTTTTTTTAAATTCCCTTTCAGTGTTTCATTTAATAATGGCTATAACAAGCAGAACACAGTTCTTCACATTTTAAAATCTGTCCCTGAAGGAAACAGTGTCTCCCAAAGCAGTGTTGGTAAAGATTCGCAGTGCAGTAAAATAGTTCTGCACCTGTTTCCTGGGCAAAATGTTACAATTGGGGGAGTTTCAAAAGTGGTTTGTGATGAAACGGCATGCAGATCAGGTGTACAAAGGAACAAGGAGAAACAAACCCCAGTGGTTGTAATGAACTCACGGGCTCCTTGAATCATGGCCGTAGTATTTATCGGCAAGGAAAATGAAAAACTGCAAGGTTCCATTGTATTCAGCAAAACCTTTTGCCTCTGAATCCAACTTGGTCTCTGGACTTGAAGGAAGACAGGAATAAACTGGATAAGGCATAGGGAAGTTAACATGATGCTGGATTAATAGAATGCGAACATGGGTGAAAAGGTTAAGGTAATACTCCTGTATAACTCATTTTATGCAGCAGACTAATGGAGTTTTAATAGGTTTTCAGCTGTGTAAACAGCTACCATAAGGGGATGTGGCCTATTCAGGGAGAATAACCACTTAACCTGCAGGAGGAAAAACATGGAAAAGATCCCAGAAAGAGAACTTGTGAAATCCACTTTGGTGGAAATGTTTAAGGTGGGTTGGATATAATGGAATCACAAATTGCTAACATGCATTTGATTCCACATGTGTCTAGCTACTGAAGCTGATAGTTAGGCACTTATAAACCACAAGAAATGTCTAATAATGGACTGTATAAAATACACTGCGATATAATCCTATTGCTATAAAATATTAAACACTTGTATGAGGCTACAGAAAATATACTGACTTATCTTTCCACTCTTTGGTTTAACTTTCCATTAAACCTTGAGCTACTTTTTAACTCAATGTTTATTCTACACCTCATGCTACATAGTCTAGTCTTTCTATGAGACATTTCTTTCAATGAAACATAGTCTGTCTATCTGTCTATGATACATTTTCAGCTAAGCTTACAATAAATTTTGTTGTTTGTTCAAAGCCTACAGATTCAGCAAACTAATTCTTTAAAGAAGGTGGTTCCACACGCCACCCAATGGAGCAGGAGAGACCATGCTCCATGCCACTGTAACTGGTGGAGGAGTTCATCCAAAGCATCCTAGTGGTCACTCTGTCCTTAAAAGCTTAGAAGTATGTTAGTTATGACTATTTTGTCTCATAAATGTGTGAGATTGATTTGTTTAGAAGCTTGTCGTGATGGAGTGGTCTACAAGGATGCCTACTTGATCAGGTCTCTGGAGTGAGACCACTTGGGAAAAAACCATGGAAAGATTTTCAGCCCAGGCAGGGGGATATGCTTGCATCAGGAGGCTTCTGTGCGCATAGGCGAGGGAGGTGATGTATCATCATTTTGGTGCTCATCTGAGTTTTCCTGATGTTCATCTGCATCTAATGGCACATTGATTGTGTGTGAGAGAGAGGGAGAGACTCCTTTTGTTCAGGCTGGAATACAGACCCAGAAGGTCAGAAACATGCCTAGAATATCCAGGCAACCTTCATATGGATGCATGGATGACAGCAAGTACTCAATATGTGCTATAAGATTTCTGTAATGGAAGTTCATGGCATACTTTATCAAGGCAAGAAAGGCACCTTATATTCCCATACTTACATCCAGCAAGAATATTTTTCCTTTAATGTGTTCATGTTGTTAAACTTGGTTAACTGCTTAAGACACCCTTCTCTGACCTGGTGTCCTTCAGATATTTGAACTACAACACCCATCTGTTTCAGCAAGCATAGCTTATGGTCAGAGATGGAGAGAGTTGTAGGCCAAAACATCTGGAATGCATCAGGATGGGGAAGCCTGGCCTGAATGTATCATCTGCTACAAAATTATGGAGCAAGTGCTCAATTCCAACCTGTATCAGATTACAGGCTCCCAGAAGACCATCTTCTGATTATAATTAGGCTTATCAGGGTCTGTCTTCGGCTGGCCAGCCAGGGGGAAGGATACAGTTACCTCTACACTGCAGCTGGAGCCTATAAAATAGCCTCGTGCCTTTAAAAAGTAGCAGGCAGGCAGTTCTGCTGGGCAGAGAAGCATCACCAAAGAGTTAGCACTTGTCTCAAATTAATTTCCTTGAAAACAGATGTTGGAACATCAGTAGGTATCCAATAATAATTTCTACTTTCAAGTCAGTCTACTTGCGAAATACTGTAGACATAAGGATTCAGAACAAACCTTGGCATAGTTTGTCACACCTATTAGCTGCCCTGCTTCTCCCAGCCAGTCCCTTAAATATTCAAGCCAGTTGCAAGGAACCCACCTCAAGGACCAAGGCCACACCTCTGCACAAAAATAAACATGTTGATCTGTTTATTGGACATAAACTGTAACATGCATATTCAAAATACACAAATCTCAATTTCTAGTTGGAGTTTCCACAGCCAGGCAGTCTCCACACTGAAGGTTCTGCTCTACTCCAGGTGGATTCCAACCAAGTCAATGATGACCTGACTGAAACAGGAGAAGGTAACTCTCAAGTATCCTGGGCCCAAGTTGTTTAGGGTTTTGTATGTTAGAAATAGAACCTAACACTGGATCCAGTAGGGAACAGCAACCAGTGCAGTTCCCTCAGTGGAGAACATCCATGCTGAAGAGGGACAACTATGGGTGGCAACTATGGATGCAGCTGCTGCATTCTGGAAGCTCACAATGGAGACCAGTGGAGGGAGATGGAGTTGTGCCATCAGCATACAGCTTGCAGTGTGCTCCAGGTCCTCGAATGTAGGTGCTCCTCTGCTGAGCCCTATAGCTCAATGCCAAGAGGCCAAGGAATAGTCACCCTGTGTTATGCTCTGAAATTGACTGCACAGGTAAGACTAGAACCATGACACAGTGCCTGCAACATCCAATCCACAGAGCTCATCCCGAAGGATACTGTGGCAGAGTGTTGAGGCCAGTGAGATTGAGTAGAATTAACAGGGTGACACTCCCTCTGGCCCACCTCTGACACTGTCTTCTATCAGGGCGACCACACCTGATTTGGTCCCATAACCAGGTTGAAAGCCTTCCTGGAATGGCTTGGATAGTCATATCATCCATGAATGCCTGCAATTGCTCCTCCACAACCTTTTCAAGTTATGCAAGGAGAGGGTATTCAGAACTAAGCAGTAGGTGTCAAATACAACTAGTCCAGAACAGGTTTCTTTAGCAATGGTTACCCTACTGCCTCCTTAAGGAAAGCAGGAATCAGCCTTCACATAAGGGTGCATTTACCACCCACTGGACCCACTAGTCACCATTTTAAATGCATTACTGTTTTAGTCTGTTTTTTAAATATACTGATAATTTGCTTCGCCCTACGTTGACTGTTTTTTGCAATCAAGGTAGTAAATGTAATTCATAAATCCATAGTAAATAATGAGGAGGAAGAATGGGAGCAAGTGTGCTAACCCTGATCTTATTGCTCTTCACAGCTTGGGTGGCAACTCTGAAACGGGGAGCCTTTGCCCATGTGCAGGCTTCCCATGTGAGATGGAACCCTCATTATTCAGGGTTCATTTTACCAGTGTTTTACCCCTATCAACACTGATAGACTCGGCCCTTCACTGCCAGGACCCCAGCAGGTGCTGGCTCTCCAGATCTTGTTTGGAAGCTTCTCCATGCTCTTCTTGACCCCTTCTCCATTCTGAGCATCTCTGCAAAGGCTTCCCCATCTCTTCTTAACAGACGTCTTCATGGGTCCTCAAGCTGGCCTATGGAGTGGCAGGACTGACACTGACCCAGTGTAGCTCATTTGACAAAGGCTCTGTTTACGCTGACACGTTATGCTTGGGGTACTCCTTCTTCTGACATGATGTTGTGTGGTTTCCTGGTTGAAGCCAGCAGCTTCGTAGCATATTACAGATTGGATGTCAGAGCATGAGCTGATTCTTCCTTTGGTTGAGCTGTGCTTTCTTCTACTGTTCAGAAGAGCATCAGCCCTCCTCCAGTAAGTCACCCTTCTATTCACCCATACATATGATGCCCAGAGAGCACAAAGAA